GAGCAGTCCTTGAGAGTAGTCCCACAGAGAAAAGCCTGGGAATCCTAGCGGATGAAAAACTTTACGTGAGCCACCAGTATGCTCTTGCAGCTTGGAAAGCAAATGATATCCTGGGCTCCATCAGAAGAGAGGTGGCCAGGATGGACAGGGAGGTGACTGTCCCTCTCTACTCTGCCCTTGTGAGGCCCCATCTGGAGTACTGTGTCCAGGTCTGGAGCCCCCAGTATAAGAAAGACAGGGAGCTGTTGGAGAGGGTCCAGAGGAGAGCCACAAAGATGATCTGAGGGCTGGAGCACCTCCCTGACAAGGACAGGCTGAGTTAGATGGGCTTGTTCAGCCTGGAGAAGAGAAGGCTGCGGGGTGACCTCATTGCAGCCTTTCAGTACCTAAAGGAGCGGAGTCAACTCTTTGAAAGGGTAGATAACTGCAGGACAAAGGGAAATGTTTTGAAGTTGAAGGATAGAAGATTTAGGTTGGATATCAGGAGGGATGCCACCGTGAGAGCAGTGAGATGCTGGAACAGGCTGCCCAGAGAGGTTGTGAATGCCCTAACCCTGGAGGTGCTCAAGGCCAGGTTGGATGAAGCCCTGGGAACCTGGTTTAGTAGTAAACGTGGAGGTTGGTGGCCCTGCCTGTGGCAGAGGGGTGGTTGGAGACTCATGATCCTTTAGGTCCCTTCTAACCCAGGCCATTCTGTTACTCTGTAAACAAGTCCTGAGAAACAGAGATTCACGGAACTGACTTGGAAAAGTCACACAGACTTCTCCTCTGAGGAAAGAAGGGCACCTTTTAAAGCCATCTCTCAAGTCATCTCTGAGCAACAAAACCTAAACTCCTATACATTTATTTAATGCTCAGGCACTTAAGTCAATTACAGAATTTGGCCTCAGAAATTTAAGGTAAAGATTGCTATGGAAAAAAACAGTGTCTCATACTAGCAGGACAACTGTTACTAAGAAATCACAGATTCTCCAGGGGTATTTGCAAGGACCTCACCAGTTACCATCCAAGGCTTTTCACCAAATGTTAAGCTTTATATACAAACACCTGTTGAAGTGCAGGAGAGTTCAATCTTATGTATCATTCACCACCTGACATCATCTTCACCAACGAGAGCTGACTGAACAGCTGTGAGGAATAGTCCACTTGAGCACAAATAGCCATATTCTGGCAATGGTCACAACGCCAACCTGTTTGCATTATTCATGCCCTCCAGAGCTTAACACAGTTGCTGATTTGCAGTAGTTGCTGGACAGAAGTTACGTCACATGATTTATGCTGGTAAAAAATCTTTACTAACTCATGCCTCATAAATTTGATCACTTAATAATTTAGCGTTAAATTTCTTATTCTAATGAAAAGAGTTAACATGATTATTATTAATCCCATTTTAGTTGATTTAAAGTTATGTCATTATGCTAAAACATTCTATTTAATTTTTAATATTCCAACTCAAAATTAATCTTTTAAGTCTTCAATTTCAGCCATACTATTACACAGTACTGTAGCACCTATCACAAGCAAATTCTCTACAGTGCCCTTGATAATGGGGATTCCTAAAGGCCACACATCTCAGTCCGCAGACCACATGTTATAATGCTCATCCAGTCAAGCATCTGAAACATCTGAAACTACAAGCTAGCCCCTAACTCTAAAAAAACAGTTAAAATACACAATGGGCACTCAGAAACAAAGTCTGCAGTATTTGGAGAAGGAACGGAACACCTCCCAAGTTCTGTACTTGCTTTTACCATTACAGAAAAACAAATAAACCCATGTTTGCTTCTTCCCTTGCATGTGGATTTGCACAGCCACTTAGCACACGAAAATAAGCTAGATAAGCCTTTTTTTTCCCTTTGAACTAGCAGGTGATGCAGCCATTGCCTATCATAGTTTATCCAGAACTGTCACATCCTGCCACTGCATGTGCCTTCTCTTCTACAGGGAGAGAGGTACACTGGTCCTGTCCTACAGGAAACTCAAGTGCAACCAAATCAACATTTTCACCTCAGCTGTGGGCAAGCCCCTGAAATCTAGACATACTCACTCTGCTGAGGCACCTGGTGGATGTGCAGTTTAACCAGAACAAGCTGAATAGGAGAGCTGTAGGATTCCATCGTGTCTTAGTCTTGACTTACAGCTCCAGAAGATCCACCAATTCAAGGCTGCTCAAAAATCAAGTCACATGTGGATTGGCAGGGAAGTAAAAAGTGCCTTCTTCTTCTTTACAGAGAAAAAAGCAAATTCCTCCTACTTCTTCCAAAAAAGGAAGCAAACACAGGTACGAGCTAGTTCTATTGCACTTCACCTCTTGTTCTTCACAGCTCAGTACTAATCATCAGTCCATAATGCGGTGTAGAATTGCCAGCCCCATTCTGATGATGTAGTTATTTCCAATTGGCACTTGGGAGCAGTGAAGATGGGAGGCATTACTCATCGCCAAGAGTACAGATGTTTCTAATTGCTTTCCATTACCAAGAATAACAGCTGTTTACATCTATCAGCAAATAATTCACAAGAGCTCCAGACTATTAAGATAACACACCCCACCTGGTCACCATCACAAGTTGTCAAGGCCAAGGTAGTGGCTGCCAGAATCCCCTTCTGCATCTCTGTTCATCAAATGACAGCATGTGTCACCTTCAGATATCCTTATGCTACCCCACAAGCCCTGGCTTCTTGGTGGCCTAACAGATCAAACGGACATATGGATTCTTCATGGCTTTGCAGTAAATGTTTCATGGTTATACCACAGCCAAGGGCAAGTGACAAAAGGAGCAAGGGACTAGCAAATAACCCAACAAAAAAGAAAATCGTCACTTAATAAACTAGCTAGCAAAAAAGGCATGTCCTCTCTGCTCTGCAGCCACGCACAGAGTAATCTTTAAGACACAAAGTAGCTGATGAGATGATTAATTTTTCAGTTCTCTTGTGCTTTGCACAGAGATCAGGTAACAAGCCTGCAGAGAAAAGGCAGCAAGGAACTGAGTTGTTCTCTTCACTGAATCAAATTACTTATTATTATCTAGGCTGGGGAAGGCACAGGTTGTTGCAAAGCAGCCACTGACTCTCACTATCCCCACATCAACCAGTTCAGACTGGCAGTGCTGCAGCAGCATGGCTGTCCTTTTAGCAGCACTTCACAGCTCTGGGTCAAGGTCTGTTGCAAGGGCTCCCCACCACTTGGGAGGTACAAATAGATAAGCAGCCAATTAAAAATTAATAATCAGAAAACAGACTGCATGACACCCTACAAGTGACTGATATCTAACGAGTTCATCAGTATTAACCATTTCCTGACAATTAAAGCTGCGTATTTATTTGCCTTACTGTGATCTACGTGTTCACTTGTCTGTAAACAGGAAAACTGATGACAAATTTGAACAGATTACCGTCCTAGAGTCTGAGCCAATTTGACTGGCTTAATGAGATAGAGAGAGACAAAAAAGTGAGGTCTCCATCAATTATTACAGTCTGTGCGTAAAGCCTTCCTCCATCTCTAGTAAATTGTTTCTGATGAATAATATCTCTTTAACTGACTCTCCACAAACTTGCACATACCTTCATGCACAGAAATACACCTCTTCCCTCTTCATGCCAATTACACCAAAAAACATTATCAAAACACAGAATACCAACTCTCCCGCTCTTTTCCTAAAGTTTATTCATTTGTAGGAAAGGACTGGCCCAGGGTTCCCACTGGGACAAACAGGAGGATCTGCCTTCGGGTCCTCAGAAAGCAACTAAGAAACCCAATGTAAAAGGAACGCACAGAGCAGAAAAGGGAAGAAAATCAAAAAGCAGAGTTTACAGGCTGCCAACGTACATGCCCACAGAAGATGGGTTAACTCTCCTTCTTTGGTTAGTCCACTGACATCAAGGCTCCTATTCAGCAGCTCTTCTGCAAATTCCTTTATATGCAGTGACCACAACTAAGAATTTATTAGAATTCCTCCCTAATTTTCCTATCACCCAGACTTGTCTAGCTATTGTTGTTCTCATCATCATTTCCACTATTTCAGGGCAGTGCCTCCTGCCCAGGGATCCCTGCCAACAAGAGCAGAATGCCATTATGAGAGGAGGCTGCTGTGAGCTGCTACCATCACAGGGAATTTATCACTGCGAGCCATGATCATAATGGACTCCTTCACCAAATGACTTTGGATGCGCAGGGCTTTGGCAGCAGGTCTGCCATCCTCACACAATTATTAAACTGAATGCCCATGTAATAGGAGCAGGGGATGGGGACTTCACATCAGTGCAGGCGGTCTCTCGGAAGCCCTGCATGCAGAAGCAAAAGAATTCACTCCAAGAGTCCAGACTGCTCGACAGGCGGGCAGGAAAAAAAAAAAAAAATGAAACTCCAGAGCTTTGCTAACTCCAGCAACCCGGGTGGGATGCTAATATTGAGTGATTTTGGCTAGGATAATGAGCTTGGCCAGGAGGAAAAAAAAAGTCAAGATAGAGAAGCCACAGCATTATTTGCAAACTTTTGATGTCCCAACTTTATACTGTCTCCCCTATCAATACATAAACTTGATTACTAAGCACACAGAGACTTTTGCAAGTACCTATTTCCCAATCAGATAACTAGGCAGCTGATTTTCCAAAGCATACAGCATCTGAAAAGTTTCAGCACTCAAAAAGAGGTTTTTCCCAAGGTTGGTCTTACAACCATGCTGGGCAAGGATAGAAGAGAAAGCCTTGTATTTGATGCAAGCAGAACTAAACCCACCACAAGCCCTGTTAATCAATTACTGAAGATATACACAGGATCACAAAGGGTATGACATACAATAGCTGGTCACTGCCTAATCTCTGTGCTCCCCTGGGAACTGCTGCCAGTTGGTGATCAGATTAGCTTTTTCACTTGCCGTTATCTATGCAGCATGTTTTGTGTGCCTTGCTTTCAGCCTTCTCTTCACCTTGTTTGTTTCTGTATAAAAATATATCTCTATTATGCATTTGTCTCTTTCTCCATCTTACAGTTTCCACTGTACCTCTCCACTCTGCTCCAGCTCATGTCAAAACTCTCCACTTCCACCTGGAAGGAACCAGCAGTGTTCTCAAGACCTCCAGTAGGCACATCACCACTCCTCAGTGTTGAATCTTCGTGCTAGCTACTATTTCACTGCATGCATCAGCTTCTAGAATCATCAGACCATCAAGAAGTTCCAACCTGTATTTTTAAAAAAAAAAAAAAAAAAAAAAAAAAAAAAATCAACAGGTTAGCCAATCTCCTGGTGTTAGTTTCTTAAATGCTTGAAAACCTGAATATTAAAGAACTTTCAAAAACAGACTGTAAAAAAAAAAAAACAAACTCCAAATGCTACATTTTACATTTTCTTCCCAGTTCTTATTAGCTAGCCTAAGCACTTTGACAGCGCAAAGCTCCCAGTGCATGCTTGAGACTGCCACCTACTGCAAGTGCTGGGAAAGCAGAAGGCTGAGAGTACACGTATTAAAGAACAAAAACCAGTAATTAGGAACCTTGCAGAGGAGTTACACCTGAGACTAATGCTTCTGTAGGCTTCTTTGCCTTCTCTGGTGAAAGCCAAATTGTACTGGTAACAGGACCTACGCAAGTCAGTCAAAGCCTCCATCTATCTATAAGGAAATATTAATTTACTCTTATGTTTTTTTGACTTGAGCACACAATGCTATTGTTGATGTGTGGAAGATGGATAGATAAACCTCAAACATTGAGTCCTGAAAGATGCCAGCACAACCTGAAACCATTAATCTTTCTGAAGTGAATACACTCTAATAGCGTGCCCAGGCATATGCCATTCATCAAATCACATCCATCCATCACACTGCACCAGACACAGTTTGGCAGAGCTGCCATGATTAGTGGATGACAATGCACCTCTGAAGCTGTGCAAGGTAGCTTCTCTAGGGAATTATTTATGATTGGCTTGAAAAAGAGGAGCTGAAACCTCTTATAACCACTACTGATTTTTTATAAAGACATCAGGAAGAAAATATCCTTCTTAATATCCTGCTTGCTTATTTTGTCAAAAATTGAAGTAGGCCATTTACGGTGAGTTTTATTAACCATTTTTCTTTTTCTGAATGGAGTACCCCAGGGAGATGCCACCAGGATAAATGGTTCTGCTTTCAGGTAGACATTGCAGTTATCATGGCACCCAAATCAGCATTCCTATGCCTGATGGCAAAAAAAAAGCTCCTGTCACAATGGGCACTCAACACAGAGCACAGAAAGTAAAATCTCCTGATGAAAGATGTACAGCTGCAGATAAAAGGAAGAAAAAGGGGTGGAGATAGAAAACACAGCACTGTTTTTTGCCTATTGTAACAGCTCCCTTTAAGAAGGAAAACAAGTGCTAGCCTCCAAGCAAGATTTTCATAGTATCAAGCGTGCCTCATATCCAAGAAATTAACATGGTTCATTGCAAGTATAACAGCAATGATAGATCATCATACAACTCATTTGGCTACCACTTATTACAGAGCTCCAAGCACTGAAGCCGCTGCTGCATGTTCCAATAACACCTGACATGAGTTCTGTGCACAAAAGTGAATGTGAAAATAGCTAGCAGAACCAGTACAACACAACAGAATGGATCCCATACAGATTTCAGAATACATCCTCTAGGCTCATGAACATGGAGGGACAGTGTTACCATCTAAAAAAATGACTCCATGATGCAGCAGGTAGACTGAACTCAGTAACAAGAAATCCTCCTGTACTACAAAGAGAAGCCACTGAAATACTGTGTTGTCTGCAGTGATTTCAGTTGCATTTCATGTTTTTCCAGCTTATCTCATCCTCTTGGGTGAGATCGACTGGGGAAAATCTTCTTAATTCTAAAGCAATTCAAGGTCAAACTGAAGAGTAACACCATTTCATCTTACACATCAAGCCGACTTGTAAGAGAGGATACTCAGAATATTACTGACATATAAGAAGCCCTAGGCTGACTTAGGAGGCCTTTCTGCCCTGAGCACCACCAAGAACATCTTACACCAAAGCAAAGCGCCTTCCATCCTTTCCAGCATGGCTTTACAGCACAGCAGGGCCTTTCAGGTTTCTTTTATTCCCCAACAAGTCTGTTTTTCCCCTTCTACCCATTTTAAATGGGAAGATCTCCAAGCAATATACCTATTGTATGAAGGAACAGCATAGTCCTCCACTCCATTTAAGCTATTAGAATAAAACAGTACAGAGTTGAAAGTGTTTGAAGATTTCTAACACCAAGTAAAATGACAGGAAAGATCATCTATAAGTGAAGGCTGAACCTGTATTCATGTTGTCACTTGAAAAAAGGAAACCAATGTCCCAACACAGAACTTCAAAACAGAGAAGTTAATTTTGCTATTTCACATCTACTGCAACAACGGGAGAAACAAAAACCTGACACGTTCCTCCAATTAAAAGCTGCATTTTCCCACAGTGAGGTGTAGCTAACCAGCAGCACACGCCGCTCCTTTCTCTCCCTCACCCCCATGCAAGTTTTCTGTTTAACAACTCTTGATTGCTATGTGCAGCCAAAATAGCTTGTGAAAAAGATTTCCATGTAAACACAGCACATACTGTAGCTCTGCTGTCCTTTTGTTATTTATTTTTTAAAGGAACGAAGGGAACACATTCAGACAGAAGAATTTTACTCTAAAAGAGAGCTCCCTCACTGCAGGCCAGCAGCTAACCAGCAGCTTGGCCTTGAGCAAGCTACCTATCAGAAATCAAACAGTTCTTACCTGTCTCCTCATTAATTATCTGGTCCTGGACCTGGCCAGAGATAACTCACAGGGCCACAGGTGACCACTCTGAAAAAAAAGAAACAGAGCTGGCATTAGGGTCATTTCAGGTTTTAAAAGAAGTCTGTCTTTCCTTTATAAAGATAACGGCTTAGTAAGCTAATGGCTTTAAGCTGTGCCATGGGAGGTTCAGGTTGGATATTAGGAAAAAATTACTCTTAGAAAAAGTAGTGAGGCATTGGCACCGGCCAGAGAGGTGTGGGAGTCACTGCCCCTGGAGGTGTTCAAGAACCAAAGAGATGTGGCACACAAGGACATGGTCAGTGAACATGGTGAGGATGAGTTGGTGGTTAGACTAGATGATCTTAGAGGTCTTTTCCAACCTTCATGGTTCCATGATAACAAATTCATGCCTTTTAATTATCAACCCAGTACCAACCCAGTATCAATGACATCAAGTTTCAGCCCAAGCAGAAAACATTATCCTCAGTTTCTGATCTGGAAAAAGATGCTACTGAGGTGCTCCTGTAAATTCTTAACTGTGGCTGTTTGGCAGCTTTTCTGCATGCTTTTCAACCTCAAGGTAAGCTAAAAAAAGACAAGCCCTGGTGCTCTCCCCAAGCAGAGACTGAAATCCATCCACTTCCCAGTGCCTACCATTCTTTGTTCCCAGCTCTACAAAAATGCAGCCCAACTAATGGGAGCACAATATGCAAGATGCCAGAGCATCGCTGTGATTTACAGTATGTCTAATGAGCAAATCCAATGAAGAGGTTTGTTGTCTACCATAAAACCAGATGGATGTAAGCAGTGATTAGAAGCAATTAACTCCATGCAGCACTAAATAACTTTCCATCATTAACGTGGTGTTTTTTTCCCCACACCATTAGAGGTACACAGGAAAATATACAATGTAAGGCAGGCCCCATAGGAACTTCATATATTCATATGCACAGGTATGGTAAAGGATAAGAGGGAGGGGAAGAAAAAAAAACAAGATAGAATGAGTTCATAGTGAAGAAACAAACATAACCAAACAGCTAGGCCCTCCAAAAGCATCTCTGCCACAGGTAACAGCCTTCATCTGAGACAAGCTTTTCTTTTACTCATCCTGATGTCACAACTGCCACCAACACCGCAGAAAGAAGCCACTGCTTGCAATAACCTTTGACGTATCACGTAGTCATCACAAAGAGAGCTAGAAGGTCTTAAAATCAGTGGTGGAATAGTTGACTAGATCCAGTTAAATTAACACAAGGACATAGCCTAAGGCATTTGAGTTCTAAGTGCTACCAATTTATTGCCAATTTATGAGAACACAGTGCTTCCCAACTACAGCACAGCTTTCAGCCCTATAATACCACAATGCGATGGAAAACACAGCAATAACAGCAGGACAGCAAAGTCCTAAACTACAACAAATGAGAACAAGACCAAACGCAGCAGCTATGGATACCAAAACAAAACAAGAAAGTTTCCTTACCTTTGGAAAGATTCAGGTAGGCAGAGATCTCCAGTAAGATACCCTTGCCTCCACTGCCAACCTTTAAATGATGTCTGGGAAGGGGTGGATCCTGACTCCATCCCTTCCAGTCACTTTGGTGG